GTTTTGCTTCCTCGACAGCAGGCTCCTCTCGTTACCATCCTCCTCATTGCTGTCCACGTCCTCCGCGCTCCACGCGTCCTCGCGGGTGCTTTCGAAGCCCGCTTGCGAGAGCCCGTTGTTCTCCCCCCTCCTTGGAATCTCCTGGCCTCTCTTGAATGGCTTGGAGGACTCCCGGGGCCGCCGTGGGGCTGCAGGTGGGCCGCTCGGAGGCAGTCCTGGGCCGAGGGAAGTACAGATAGATGGAAGGGGGAAGCCGTTGGGGGGGTCGGACGAACGGGGGGGGATGGCAGAAAGGGGAGTCCCCGAGTCAGCTCAAGCAGCCGGTTTCTCGGGAACATGCCGGCGCAAGGGGCACCAATGTACAGAGGAGAGCGCCACGCGGCGGCGCTGAAAGCAGCTGTCCCAGCCGAGGGGGGGAAGAGAGGAGGGACAATGGAGGCAGGAGGCACAGAAGAAGGAGCGACGAGGAAGCAGAGGGGGGGTGTCCGTGGCGAATCTCTTCATGTCGAGGCAGGCCCCTGGGGACAACAGCCAGAGAGCAGAGGGTGAGAAGATAGAAGAGACGGATGGGGGAGAGGTGGGGACAAAGTAAACAGAAAGAGAGAGAGAGAGAGAGACAAATTCAGAAATAACGAAAAAAAAGAGAGAGAGAGAGAGAGAGAGAGAGAAAAAGACACATCGGAGCTGTGTTGCCCCCATGGGACTCTTGCGACCCTGAAGAGCGGAGGAGCGAGCAGGATGGTGAAACAAGCCGATGCAGCGCAGAGGAACAACACAGAACACACACGGGTGCAGACATCGGCCCAACGCCTGCCCTCCGAGATCCCCTCCCTGCTGGTCCCTCTGGCCGCGGGCCTGCATGTCGCCGTCGTGCTCCTCCTGCAGCACGCGTATGAAGCCGTCCCTCGAGGAAAGCGCCTCGCCGCAGCGGCCCCTGGCCCCTGCACCGGCAAGCGGCAGCCTTCTGGCTCCAGCCAGGGACGTGCCCGCCGTGAGGACCAAGCACTCTGGTCCAGACTTGGCCACGCGCAGCGGAGGGTAGGGGGAGTCGAGCAGGGACCGACCGTCCTGGCAGTCCTAAGTCCTACCACGAAATGTTCTTAGAACCCAAGATGTTCTCATGACAACAACAACAACAACAACAACAACAACAACAACAACAACAACAACAACAACAACAACAACAACAATTACTAGCACGTGGGGACACTCCGTTCTCACCAGTGCCAGGGTTTTCATAGGAGGCGGGCAATACCCCCACTTTGTGGGGGGGCCGGTTCAAGCTCTACCAAATTTCCAAACGACTCTTCGCCACCACCCACACCCAGCTTCCCGCCCTATGACGTTCGGACACTTCACTTCGTGGCATGCGGACGACCGTGGCTACTATTCAGGGCCCCGCGGCCGACGACGACGGCGTGCGCGCGCGAAGAAAAAACGAATGTGTCCCGCATGGTATTATTTGACAGGGATGATGGCCCTGGCAGGTGCGCAACCGTTGTCGCAGAAGTTCGAAAAAGTTGCTCGCAAAAGCCCGTTTGACAGAAATGTTTAAAAAGTGTTGGGTTTCCTACGAATCCGCAAGAGCGCGCGGGATGAAATGCAAAAGTTTTTGACAGAACTGTTTAGAAAAAAAGTTGCTCGCAAAAGCCCGTTTGACAGAACTGTTTAAAAAGTGTTGGGTTTCCTACGAATCCGCAAGAGCGCGCGGGATGAAATGTTGACACGTTTTTTTTTTGAAAAAAAAAAAAACATTGTTTCTTATATGTTTTTATGTTAAATTCGTTACGAAAACTGAGGTTTTGGAAGGATTTCGTCTTGCGCGCGCGAATGTCCACTTTACCTTATTTTTTCAATGTCCTTAGAACATAAGCCCGATGCGTGAAACCAAGACGGTCCCAGCCAGAAATGTCCTGAGACCATCTCGTGGGAACCACAAAAGGTTCTTAGAACATTGCTTGGTAGGGCTATAGGCGAACCAGGACGCTTCCCCACTGCTCGAGGGAGGGGGGAGGTTTCTTAGGAGAAGCCCACTTCGAAGAAGGCGCCCGCCCTCCGCACAGACCACCTCAGGATACAGAGCCGGTCCCCGGGAAGGAGGAGGAAGAGGAGGAGCAGGAGGAGGGGGAGGAGGAGGAGGAGGAGGAGGAGGAGGAGGAGGAGGAGGAGGAGGAGGAAGAAGGAGGAGAGGAGGAGGAGAAGGAGGAGGAGGAGGAGGAGAGGAGGAGGAGGAGGAGGAGGAGGAGGAGGGGGGGGGAGGAGGAGGAGGAGGAGGAGGAGGAGGAGGAGGATGGGGGAGAGAGGAGGAGGGGAGGAGGAGGGGGGAGAGACGGAGGAGGAGGAGGAGGAGAAGGAGGGGGAGGGTGGGAGGCGGCTTAGAGGAGGCCTACTTCGTGGAAGGCGCCGGCCCTCCGCACCGCGGCGCGTCGTTCGCGAGGGCGGCGGGGCGCGCCGGCCCCAGCGTGCCGAGGCCGTGCCCGGCCCTCTCGCGGGCGGCGGCTCCTCTCGCGCGCTCCTCGGGCCCCGCGGGCCCCGCAGGGCGGGGCGGGTCACGCTGGCCACCGCCAAACCACGAGGAGGAGGGGAGGGGGTCCTCCTTCTCCTCCTCCTCTCTCATCCCCTACCTCCTCCTCCTCCTCCCCGCCTCCTCCTCCTCTCCCCCCTCCTAATCCTCTCCTCCTCCTCCTCCTCCTCCTCCCTCCTCCTCCCCCCCCTTCTCCCCCTCCTCCTCTCCTCCTCCTCTCCTCCTCCCCTCCTCCTCCTCCTCCTCCTCCTCCTCCTCCCCTCCTCCTCCTCCTCCTCCTCCTCCTCCTCCCTCCTCATCCTCCTCCTCTCCTCTCCTCCTCCTCTCCTCTCCTCCTCCTCCTCCCTCCTCCTCCTCTCCTCCTCCTCCTCCTCCTCCTCCTCCTCCTCCTCCTCCTCCTCCTCCTCCTCCTCCTCCCCCCCCCTCCATCTCAAGGTGGCGGTGGTGGAGAAGAACAGGCGCATCAATCCTGGCGCCTCTCTATCGGGCCAGCGGCGTACAGTGACCCGACCACAAGGAACCTTCCACAGGAAACCCAGCCCTGAGGCCCCAGGAGGTCCACTGAGTTTTTGGCGTCGGAACGTCACGCTTTCCATAGCAAAACGATAGAAACCCAAGAAACCCAGGGCACCCTGGAGGCAAACAGGGTGGTTCCTGGCACGCGTCTGCACTGTAAGGATACTTTCAAGTGCACTTGCAATCCAACATCCGCTTCTTTCAGGAACAGCGCTCGCTTCCGCTAGCGTAGGTCCGATCCTCACTCCGAAGCGAAAACGCAAGACACATATTTTTCGGCCCTCCCGGGGGCTCTTCAATCCACCATGCCTGCGGCATGACATCGAACGGGCACCGTCGATGGGACTGGAGGTGGAGAGGAGAGACGCAGAGTTCCAAGAAGTTTGGGTCAAATCGGCGTAAATGCCACCCTAGCTTGGCAAACTTGTGCACATGACGCAACCGACAGACGTACCTCTGCGATTCCAGCGCCAATCTTGGATGGGGAGTGCCAGAAAACCTTGCGTACGACCACGGGCCCCAAAGGTCAATGCTAAGGACAATGCCCGCATGTGTCTGTGGACCGATATCACGTCGCGAGCTCACCTGCAAAGACAAGGGAAGCAAACTCTCGAAATAAAAAAAGGGTCTGGAGAGCAAACCAGGTGGGAGGAGAATAGCGAGCAGAGCGAACGCGCAAGTTGATGATAATAAAACAAACTCACGACGTCATTCTTCAAAACTTACGCCTATGAGTGAAACCTTATATGATCTGAGGCACGTCTCGATTGTGTGCTGGCTGCTAGTGGTGGAGGATCACGTTTGGAACTTGGCATGGCCGCCTTAGGACCACGTCAAGACACTATCGGGAATATATCAATGTAATTCGCTATCTCTGGAACCGCGAAGGTAGTCTGTAGTGCTTCCCGGGGCACAGTATTCGTCCTCGACGTCGCTGTACCCAATCCTCGGCCCCCTCTCCCCTCCTTCTGCTCAACCACCCCCCGTCCCTCCTCTTCACCTGAGGTAACCTGCGCCCCTCGGCCGCCTGCTCATTCCTGAGATCCGACGTTGTGACAAGAAACAGCATAGTGAACACATCGCGACCAGAGCACTAGATCCATCTTTCTGCCGCAATCTTCGAGCCCGATCGATCCGTGGTCCCGTGGCCCTGGAACTGGGCGGAAATGCTCGGTGTGAACAAGTGGCAGTGCCCAGATCTGAGGCTTCCTACTCCTGATTGCCCTCAGCAGAGTCCTGCCCCCCACCCAGCCTGAGGAAAATGTGTCGTCCCCCCTACGAGGTGGACACCCGAATTCTCTGGGATAGACCTGGTGTGGGTAGGGCCCTGTCTGGTGCTCCCGACGGCGATCAGGGAAAACACTGGAGCCGATTGGTCCGGAAAAACTCCGCTCCCCGAAAGCACTGCACGATGTGTACATGAGGAGGAGAAGGAGGAGGAGGAGGAGGAGGAGGAGGAGGCGGAGGCCGAGGAGGATGAGGAGGCGGAGGCCGAGGAAGAGGAGGGGGAAGAGGGGAAAAATGATCCTGGAAAGCTCGAGTGGAGTGCAATCCGGCACAGCTCCAGCGCAAGAGGGGGGCCCGAAGCAGCAGTCGTCCCCGACCGCCCCCTGCCCCGAGAGCTCGGGGCCCGGAGCGGGGGCGACCAGGAGCAGCTGAGGCGGCAGCCACTTGGGTGTCCTCCACCTCCAGGTCCTCGATGTCCTCGAGCGGTCGGGCGCGTGAGCGCCCTCAGGACCGAGGACGCCGAGGATCACCACGAGTGCTAGGATCGCACTGTCGCGGGCCCACCCCATGGACGCTAAACAATCCGTAGATACAGACAAAGCCCAATGCCTGCATGGAACTGCTCGATATGGAATATTCGATCATCGCGTGTTTATTGAAAAGGATGAAACAAGGGGTCGATACCAATGGGCGGGAGATGGGATGGTATAATTTCTGCGATGAAAGATCGTGCATGCTATGTATCTGCGAATTCCCCAAACCGTGCTTGCACTTACGGTGTCCCATTTCTCTTCGTAGGAACTGGGACTGGCTTGCGGTCTGGTGGCTCCGTGCTCGCCGTCGCCGACCCCGTCGCCGTTTCGTCGCCGCCCGTCGTCTGGGTATGGCTGGCGCCCGTCGCCGCCTCGTCGCCGCCCGTCGTCTGGGACTCGCTGGCGGTTTGGCGGCTCCGTGCTCGCCGTTGCCGCCCAATCGCCGCCTCGTCACTGCAAAAAGGACAGCGCTACGTTGATTCTCCTGTTTCAAACAGAATGAACTGATTCTCCCCCTACCTGGGATTATTCGCCTCTCTTTTCGTATTGCAATGTGCCTATGACTGTGCCCTATCGTCCATCGTAAATATGAACGCATACTATCCCAAGCGCAACGGTATCGACCCACCCCCGCCATCCTCCGCAACATAATTATCAGCGCTTATTTATTTATTTATCAAACTGATCAATTTTCAAAAACCCCTTGCAACACATGTGACGAAGTGCGCACGTGCGCGTCGTCGCGCGTGCATGCCGGGACCCTGCACACACCTCAGGTTTCGTAACGATTCCCGAATCGAGTGCCCAACACACATATGAAAACTCACGGTTTCGCAACACGGATGTTCAAAAAAACTTGCGCGCGCGTCCTTGCGAACGAATGCAAAAAAAAACATACGTTGTTTATCAGCTTCATGAGATGTTACCAAACGGGCTTCGCGCGCGCATGTCGGAATCGTTCGACCGTCCTTGCGCGCGTGTCGTCGCGAGTCCTGTTGCACAAAGTTGTGACAAGAGGCGCGCGCGCGCGTCGTCGCGCAAACATGCCGGAAGCCGTGAAAAGAAAAAACAACTTCGGTGTTGCAGCGATTTAGAAACCGAGTTGTCACACAACATGGAAAGAACAACACATGGTTTCGCAAGATCCGTTTTCAACAAAAAACATGCGCTCGCGCTCTTGGGAGTCGTTAGGGAAACAGTCGGTTTTTCAACATGCTCATGGAATTCCGCCAAGCTGGCCCCTCGCGCCGCATGTCGAAATCATTCGAACACCCTTGCGCCCGTCCTGGGGAGGGCACGATCCGTGTCAAATCAAAACCATGCGGGCCACTCTCGCGCGTCTGCCGCGCGCCAATGTCGAGCTCCTTCCAAAACCTCCATCACCGACGCGAAGACGCCGTCATTGTCGTCAGCGCGATCAGCTTCGGCACCCTCACTGGCCGGGCCGTCGTCGTTGTCGACATCGCCACCACCATCGCCACCACCATCGCCACCACCACCGTTGTTATCATCGCGTCTACCGTTGTCGACGTTGCCGTGGTACCGCGCCCGCCCAAGTCGCCGACTCGCACTGAAAAACCCGCTGGGATGTGCCCAGCGGTCAGCGCCACCGCGGCCCGGTCGGTCGCGCCAAACTAGTTGGCCAGTACGCGCGTGTGCTTGGGTTGGCGCGGCCGCAGACATGGACCAGCCAACACCAAGCACTCATCGCAATCGCCACCGCGTGCGTTTTGCAAACCAAGTTGCGGGCGGGTGGGTGGGATGATTGCGCGAACAATGGAATGGACAACTCCTGCGAACAGAAATTAAATGCCCCCCAGAATTATTGGTACCCCTATTCGTATTGCAATGTATATACGATGCTGCCCCATTGTCCATCCTACGTATGCGTCGATCCCCCCACCATCCGCTGGAACAAATTACTATGCCCACGCATCTACTTATTCAAAATCAGAAGTTTTCAAACATCGCTTTGCCAAAAAATATGGGACGAAGTGCGCACGCGGGCGTCGTCGCGCGCGCATGCCGAAATCCTTCAAACACGCTCTGTTTCGTGAGGGTTGCAAAACCGAAATTCAAAAACAAAAAAAAAAACATGCAAACCCACAGGGTTTCGCAAAACGGATTGTCAAAACAAAGCTTGCGCGCGCGCTCCTGCGAATAATCAAGAAAACCTACATGGCTTTTCAATATGTTTGATAAAGTGCTACCAAGCGGGCTTCGCGCATGTCGAAACTGTTCTAACGCCCTTACCCGCATGCTGGGATGGCACGATCCGTGTCGCATTATACCATGCGGACCACTCTCGCGCGTCTGCCGCGCGCGCATGCCGAACTCCTTTCAAAACCTCCATAACCGACGCGAAGACGCCGTCATCGTCGTGGGCGCGATCACCAACGGCGCCGTCACTGGCTGCCCCGTCGTCGCTGTCAGCATCGTCGCCAGCATCGCTACTATCATCACCACGTCTACCGTCGTCGACGATGCCATGGTACCGCGCCCGACAAGCCGCCGACTCGCACTGAAGTGCCCGCTGGGATGTGCCCAGCGGTCGGCGCCACCGCGGCTTCGTCGGTCGCTCCAAACTGCACGCGCGCGTGCGCGTGCATGCGCTGGCTGTCGCGGCCGCAGGGATGCACCAGCCAGCGCCGAGCACTCATCGCAATCGCCGCCGCATGAAGTTTGCAAACCAAGTCGCGGGTGCGTGGGTGGGATGCTTGCGCGAGCAATGGGGTGGTCAGCCTCAAGTTGAGCATTGACAAATTGCACCACGCAGGCTGCAGCGTATGTGTGGCGCAACATGGATTGCACAACGCACATCGTATATTGCACAACGCAAATTGCACGGCCGTTCCACACATGGTTTCACAACAAATCTGGTTGACATCACATTGTGTGGGCCCACAGTGGCTAACACATGCATACGCAGATGCACATATATCGGCTGCAAGGTCACAGAGAGGGGTCGCTAACCCTGGCCTCGGCAAGGGGGGCGCCTCACTTTGTTTGATCGGAAACGCCGGGTTTGTGAGCGCAGCGCAGCGAAATCCAATTAAGTTCTGGAGGGCGCCGTCGCCGCAACATGCCTGTGGTCACCGCGGCGTTCCCGCGAGTGCCGCACTACGCTTGTTAGCGCCGCAGTAACGACCGAGCACCACACCATGCAAATTGCGCGTGGCCACCGCAACTGCTTGCGAACGCCACCGCAAGCATTTGAGAGCCTCAAATGTGAATATATTATTCGGTGGCGACCTGTATGGACAGAAAACTGTCTTCGGAGAGTGGGCGGAACTGTGCCGACATGGGCGCGGTGGCGCCATGTGAACCCTGCAATTTGTGCTTTCGGCGGAGCTTCCGATGGGGCCACAAAACGTGTCAAACGTGTGCCGACATGGGCGCGGTGGCGCCATGCGAACCTTGCCACTGGGGCCTTCGGCGGAGTTCCCCATGGGGCCAGTGAGCGTGTGATGGGTGCGCCGATATGGGCGCGGTGGCGCCATGCGAACCCTGCCACTGGGGCTTTCAACGCAGCTCCCGAATGTCAGCTTGTGATGAACAAATCGGGGGTGGCGCGTGTTAGAAACAAATAATTCGCTTGCTCGGGCGAATTGCGGGATGGCGCCCGCCAAAATGAAAATCAACACTGCGGCGCCGGTGATTAGCGCCGACGCCCGGCCGCCAACGAGAAGGCGACAAACAGCACAAACTGGGAGAAGGGAGGGGGCAGGAGGCAAAAACGGTAGAAGCAGGGACCGTGAGCCAGGGCGACACCTGTTTGAAATGAAGAAAAACTGATGTCGGTGCTGTTTTATGTCGAACCGATGCGCTTCCTTTGCCCTGGCCGCAGCCAGGAGGGCGCCAGCTGCCTCGCGGGCCCGCGAGTAACGTGGGCTGGACGAAAGGGGGGAGTGGCCAAGAGGGAATCTTCCCAGCAGCTCACATCGGTGATTTTCCGACCGCCCCTGGCGCCGAAAGCGGCCATGCATCGAGGACTGGCCCGTCGGCGGGGCGACCGAAATCAGCAGCGCGCAGCAGGTTTCCAAAGTGCCCCTTTCCTTCCCCAGCTTATCGTCCGACCCGAGCAAGGCGTGCGGGCAGTCGTCGACGACGACGACGGAGAAGGGGACGAGGACGAGGACGACGGACGGCGGACGGCGACGGCGGCGACAACGACGACGCACTGCGGATGCCCTATGGGGCTGGGGGGGGGTGCTGCGCGCAGGCCCGCTGTAGTCGACGACGACGAGGACGAGGACGAGGACGACGACAACGACGACGACGACGACCATGACGACGACGACGACGATGACGACGGGACGAGGACGACGGACGGCGGACGGCAGACGGCGATGGCGGCGACAACGGCGACGCACTGCGGATGCCCTATGGGAGAGTGCTGCGCGCAGGCCCGCTGTAGTCGACGACTACGACGACGAGGACGAGGACGACGACGAAGACGCCTGAGAGGGGGAAAACAAATCGCCTCGGATAAGCACGACCCCGATAACAAATCCGATACGAAAGGCAACTCTTTGGAGGCTGTCACGCAGGGGGCTACACGATCCCCTCGGCGGCGCCAACGACGATCCCTTGGCGCCGCGCCCCGCGAGGCCTGTTCATCGGCCGGGACGGGGGGGTCCGGTCATTTGTTGATCACAAGCTGACATTATGGGGACACGAAGCGTGTGAGGGGTGTTCCGGCATGAGTGCGGTGGCGCCAGGCGAGCCCTGCTGCTGGGACCTGCGGTGGAACTCCCTATGGGGCCACGGAACGTTTGATGGGTGTGCCGATCTGGGTGCGGTGGCCATGCGAACCCTGCCGCTGCGGCCTTCGGTGGAGCTCCCTATGAAGCCACGAAACGTGTGAAGGGTGTTCCGAAATGGGTGCGGTGGCGCCATGCGAACACTGCCGCTACGGCCTTCGGTGGAGCTCCACATGGGGCCACGAATCGTGTGAGGGGTGTGCCTGAATGGGCACGGTAACACCATGCGAACCCTGCCACTGGGGCCTTCGTCGGAGCTCCCGATTGGGCCACGAAGCGTTTGAGGGGTGCGGCGACACAGAGACATGCGAAGAGCAGAGGCGAGGAGGGGGGGAGGGAGGAGGGGGAGGAGATGAGGAGAGGAGCGGAGAGGAGAGGAGAGGAGAGGAGAGGAGAGGAGAGGAGGCGGAGCGCGGGGCGCTGCCTCTTCAAAAATAGGACCGGCACCACAGGATGGTTGGGAACAATCCCCTCCTCCTCCTCCTCCTCCTCCTCCTCCTCCTCCTCCTCCTCCTCTTCGTCCTCCTCCTCCTCCTGTTTCTGCTCCCCTCGGACCTCGCCAAAAGTTCGTTCTGGGAAGCACTTCGAGGCGAATCCAGCCGTTGCGACCAGAACTCCCCAAGAGGCCAAGGCAAAAATCTCACACGGGACCTCAGAAGCCTTTCGCCTCGGACCTCGACTTCCTCGTCGCCCCCCTCCCTCCCTCGCCCGCTGGTCGGCCCACCAGGCCAGGGAGGCACAACAGGCATGCCAGGGAAGCACAACGCTTCCCGTGACCAAGGCGGAGCGCGGAAGCGTCGGCCTCGATCTTGGCCATCGTCCATGGAGGTCATCATAAAACCGCGGCCTGGACCTGCGAAGTCCTGTTCTTTCCGTGCGGCGTCCCCGGAAATCCAGACCCTTTCCCCGGGGCCCAGTTTTCATCCTGAGTCGTTTTTTTGACGGTCCCGTGGACTGGCGAGGGCCCCCAGGGGCCGAAAATAAGGAAAAAATTGCGTCCTGTTTTTATTTTACGACGCGATCATGTCTGGGGGATCATCCTCACGAATCGGCGATGGCTGGCATGGGCCACGACCAAGATCGGCGTCGACGAGATCCCGCGACACCTTGGCCACGGTCATGCTGCTGCTCCCCTAGCCACCGATGGCCATCGTGGCCCGTCTGGACCTGCTGCTCTACGGCTCCGAGGCCGCGAAGAAGTTCGGTGGCGACATCTGAGCCCTGACCCCACCAGCCCTCGATTCTTCTGAATCGATGAGAGGAGCGTGTAGGATTTACATTGTGAACGTTTCCTGATTCGGCGTTTCGACATTGTGCGGAGGGGGGGGAGGGGGGGGTCTGGCTCGGGACCGTTGCTTCGTGCGACTGTTTGCGGCAGTGCGCCCTATGGGGAGACTCCACCTGCTTGAAACAGGCACCACAAACAGCCAAGATCTGCTCCATGGGGGGCGAGGGATGGGGGTGCGAGGGCCCGCGCCGATCGGCAAGACAATGACTTCCGAACCATACCCCCGCCGCCCGTCGGGTCGCCTGAATCGCTGCTCAACGAGGGTGCAGCGGAGGCCCGTCCGCAAGAAACCTCTCACGAGAAACCCGACCCTGAGACCCCTGGGACGCCCATCGGTTCTTGGTGTGGTCCTCCTCCCCCTCCTCCTCCTCCTCCTCCTCCTCCTCCTCCTCCTCCCCCTCCTCCTGGAAAGACGCGCCGTCCGTCGCAGCACCATCGACACCCGAGAAACCCAGGGCACCCTGGAGGCGAGCAGGGTGCCTCTTGGCGCGGACCTCCACTGCGCAGGGCCCGCACTCCGCCGACGAGGCCGAAGGCGGGTCCTCCACCGCGACGTGGCCGTCCGGCCTGCCGGCCTCCAGCGCCTCCGGGGTGTGGAACCACTCCAGCCGGTCCTACGGCGGCGCTCCGGCTGGCTTGCCGCGCCGGGGGGGGGGGGAGGGGCTGCCGCGGCCCGCGGGCGGCGTGCGGCGCGGCGGGTGGCAACGTTCCCAGACCCCCTCGGGTCATGAAAAATGATGGGCCTGTTTTCCACCACCACCACCACCAGAAGTTGGAGGGGGGAAGGAGGAGGACGAAGAGGAGGCGGAGGAGGAGGACACCCGCCCACTCCAACTTATGGTGGTGGTGGTGGAAAACAGGCCCATCAAAAAAAACATGACGGGAGGCTTTTCCGCATTTTCGACCTCTGGAGGCCCCTCCAGGCCCTCGGAACCGTCCAGAAACGATGCAGGAGGGAGGACCGGTGCGTGGGGAGAGGGCCGAGACATCTGGGGGTCGAGGCGTTATGCAAAAGTCATGACGTCGGGGGTCTGGGTTTTGGGGAAGGGGCGGCCGGCTCTGGGGGAAGGCATCGAGCTAGGAAACCGGCAATGCACATCGCAGACAGATCGGCGATAGGCCCCAGGCTTGCGGATGCCATGACAATACACACCCTAACAATCCGATTATTGATGTAAACATGTGTTTAAAAGTTCGATACATGTCCTAAACATGTTTTACATGGTTAAGACATGTTTCAAACATGTTTTAGACATCCGGCAATTATTTGGCAACATGCTTCCTCTCTCCATCGATCATCGTCCGCAACACCAGGTGGCGAGTCCGCAGGGTCCTGGGCGGGACAGGGCTGTGAGGCCCCTGTCGGCGATGGATGGGCGAGCCGGGGTCGATGCGTGCCCCCCCCTCCCCCCGCTCAGTCTACAGCGGAGGCCAGTCCACAAGAAACCTTCCACGAGATACCCAAGCCCGAGACCCCAAGACGTCCACTGATCTCGATCTTTGGCGTGGGAATGCCGCGCCCTCCCTCGCAGAACCATCGAAGCCCAGTACGCCCAGGGCACCCCTGGAGGCACGCGGGGTGTCTCTCGGCATGGGCCCCCGCTGCATACCTCGCCAGGGGCGAGAGGGGGGCCGACGGGCAGAGGAGGAGCGCCGACCTGGGAAGGCTGGTCCGGCCGCGGGCAGCGGCCCGAACCCGGCGCTCGAGAGGTTCGGGGGGCAGGAAACTTGGAGTCCCACGAGGTTGTGATCAGAACCCGCCCAGAGATGCAACGTACTGAAAAAATCACGACGGAGGTTTTACTTAGCTTTCGGCCTTTAGGGGCCCTTAGCGGGCCTCGGGACCGTCAAAAAAACGACTCAGGATGAAAAACCGGTCCAGAGGAATGGGTTGAGGCTTCTGGGGACCCCGTCTTGAAAAATTCACGACAAAGGATCTCTGGGCGTCCTGCCACGGGGCATTTTGATCCCCACGAGGGCAGCAGTTCCGAGGCCCACGGGGGCAGAAAAAGCTGATGCCCACGGGGCCGTGGGGGTGCCAGCTCCTGGACGGAGGGGGGCCGTCGCAAGGAAGACAGCTGCTCCTGAGAGTAAGGGGGGGCGCAGTTTTGTTTACTCGATTTTGGCCTGCCCGGGGCTCCTTCCAAGGCCCAGCGGGGGCATCAAAAACCGTTTCGGGCAAAGAGTCCCCCAGGACCCGTTGTCCTCAGGACCCATTCCCCTCATGGCAGACCTGCGGGCATGAATGACGTGCGAGAATGATAAGTAAAAGCGCCCGAGCAAAACGATGGTGATGTTTTCATGTGTCTCCTGGGGGGAGGAGAGAGGGAAAGGAGAGGCTGGACTAGTTAGAGGAGGGGGGGAGGAGGGGAGGAGGGAAGCAGGGAAGGGGAAAGGGCGGGGGAGGGGAGGCACGAAGGAGAGGAGAGGGAGGAGGGAAGGGGAGGGAGACAAAGGGTGAGCAAAGGGGGGTGGGGGGGGCGGCGCGAGACAGAAGGGGGAGTGGACGACGCACCATCCTCTGGCGGACTACTGCTCCTGCCTCTCCTCCTCCTCCCTCCTCCTCCTCCTCCTCCTCCCTCCTCCTCCTCCTCCTCCTCCTCCTCCCCCTCCTCCTCCTCCCCTCCTCCCTCCTCCCTCCTCCCTCCCCTCCTCCCTCCTCCTCCTCCTCCCTCCTCCTCCCTCCTCTCTCCTCCTCTCTCCTCCTCCACGGTGGATCGGGCGGCGGATCCCCCAAGGGCGCGGATATATCGGGCCTGCACGTGAACGACGATCAAAAACATGTCTTACGCGAGATGGCATCGCGACCTTCCGCGGCGGCTTCCGCGCGCCGCCAGCGCGGCACGCCACACTGGAGACGAGGGCGCTCACGCGCGACAAGGAGCTTTCACGCGAATGTCGGCGCAGACGACCCCCTTTTTTCTCGTCGCTCACTTGAAGCGGTAATCCTTGGATAGCTTCGTGAAGGAGCTGGCAGGTTTTGGAGAAGAGGTCGTCAGGCTGGGCTACGGCAGGTTTTCGTCGGGCCGACCCCGGCGTTGGTTCCTGACTCCGCGGGGATCGTTCGAACTTGAACGATTGGCCCTTTTCAAAAATGCCAGATCGTTCAAGGATGGGCCGATTCTGGGCCACAGGCGGCGTTCAACCTGAAATGCCCGCGCTGGGATCGCCGCTGGTCGACACGACGCGAAGCTGCCGTAGGCGAGCTTCCTCTCCACGGCTGTTGGTCAGGCAACGTCGCAGCTCCTACACACGCAAACCCAGTCGGCGTGGGGGCAGAGGGGAGGGCGACGAGGGCCGGCGCGGAAAGAACTGGCGCCACGCCACGGTCAGATCGGCCTCTCACGCGAACGCACTGGACAACCGTGCCACCCTTTCTCGTCCTAATCCTCCTCATCTCCCCCTCCTCCAGCTCCTCCTCCTCCTCCTCCTCCTCCTCCTCCTCCTCCTCCTCCTCCTCCTCCCGCTTCTCCTCCACCCTCCCTCTTTGCCCCTCTTCCTCCCCCCCCCCCTCCTCCTCTCCTCCCTCCTCTCCCTTCCTGCCTCGCCTCTCCGCCTGCTCCTCGCGCGAGGCCCCCCGGAGGAGGCGTCTGCCGGCCCACGCGTTGGGGCCCGGCTCGCCCAGGAGCCTCGACCTCGCCCCGGCCGTCGACGGCGACGGCGGCGTCGGCGTCGGCCGGAGGGCTGCGCGACGAAGAGGAGGAGGAGGAGGAGGAGGAGGACGAGATCGACGACGACGAGAACGAAGACCACGCCGACCGACGACGCCAGCGGCGGTGACGACGACGACGACGACGACGACGACGCCCCATCTGAGGGGCAGCCCCCGCGGAGGGCACACGGAGCGCGGGCGGAGGCTCCCGGTAGAGCACGAAGTGGCCGCCGCTGACTGGCGGCAACCAGGCGTCCCGCTGTCCGGCCGCCGCCGACTGGGGCGGAGGCGCCGTCGCTGTTGCCGCTGTCGTCGTCGTCGTCGTCGTCGTCGTCGTCGTCGCCTTGGCTGTCGGCGCCGCCGTCGTCGTCGCGGTCGTCGTCGCCTCTGTCAACCTCGTCGCCGATCGGCCAGCCTTGTCCCGGTCGCCTTGTAGAAACATCCGTGCCCGAACCCAAGGATGCAAAGCAATATGCCGCCCGCGGGCCGTGCCGCGTGGTGCCCGCGCTCCAGAAAAAGTGCAACATGAGCCGCCTTCTGTGGGAACTCACAGGAGACTCCCATGCCATCTCGTCGGCTCCTGCGAATCGACGCTGAATCGACGCTGAAGCGACGCCCGATCGACGCCAGATCGACGCTGACGCTCATCGACGCTGAAACGGGCTACCCCATCGACTCCCAGACGCTCCTCCACGCCAGTCGACGCTAAAGACAGAATTGCGAGGGTGCACGAGGCCCCCATGATCTGCTACCGACTGCCCCGTCTCGGGGTCGTCTTGGGGGCCTCTTGGGCTGTCTTTGGGGCCTCTTCGGCCGTCTTGGAGCGCTGGAAGCATGAAACGGCGAGAAGGCCAACAAAAAAACATGAAAACAAGAACAATGAAGATCAACGACTTTAGGTTCTCCGGGCGCTCTCGGGAGGCCTCTCGGAGCTCTCTTGAGGTCTCTTGGAGGCCGTGCCCAGTACCCAGTGCGAACAAAAAGCGTGCCGCGCGCGCGGCCGTGGCCGCGCGGCGCGGCGCACAGCCGTGCCGCGCGGTGCCGTGCCGTGCTCGTGCGCGGCGTGCCGCGCGGGCGGTGCGCACGCGGCGCGCAGTGCCGTGCCGTGCGCGTGCCGAGGTGGACTCGCCGCGTCGTCTCGCGCAGTGCTGGTGCACGGGGTCTCTGTGGGACGCGGGCAGGCGTGCCAGTACGATGTGTCCTCCTGGGAGGCGCGCGTCCGACCCGAACACACCGTAGATCTTGTCGTGCATGTATTTATTTGTTTATAGATTCAAATCTATGCATATCGTTTCCCGAGCGATGTGGCCAGAAAGCGCCCGCCACGACGCGTATACCATGAGTTCTCTCGGTGCGCGCGTCGGCCCTGGCGGGGCGACGCACACACAGTATCCGTATGTTGGGGGGGACGCCGACTCCATGGCGGTGCCTTTGTGTAAAAGCGACTGGCCCATGCTGGGCCGCCAAAGGACTCCGGGGACCTCGGGCTTGCCTGGAGTCCGACCAGGAGGAGGAGGAGGAGGAGGAGGAGGAGGAGGAGGAGGAGGAGGAGGAGGAGGAGGAGGAGGAGGAGGAGGAGGGAGGAGGACGAGGAGGAGGAAGAGGAGTAGGCATTGCAAGAACAACAACTCGCGCAGGAAGTGTTATTCCGTTTCCGCCTCCGCTTCTGGCCTGGGGTCTGTCAACACTCAGCCGGGGGCGAAACAACTGTACGGGTGGGAGGCTCTTGGTTGCGACCCAGAGAAGGAGTGTCAGGAGATGAAGGAGGTGAAGAAGGAGGATGACGAGGCGTAGACAGAGGTTGAGGAATAAGAGGTGCAGGGGTAAGAGGAGCACAAGGGTGACAGGTTGCAGGATGACGAGGAGATTCAGGAGGACGACAAAGTGCAGGAGGAAGGAGGAGAACAAGGAGAAACTACAAAAGGAGGAGGAAGATGTGCCAGGGCTCCACGCGCCAGCCACGTTGACCCACGTACTTGCTACCACGCAGGCGTAGGAGGAGGGAGGAGGAGCAGAATGTGACAGAAAAGAAAGAAAGATGAGGATGAGCCAGGGGAGGGGGTAGGGAGAGGAACTGGTAGCCAGGACTCCTTCGCAGGCGCACACCGAACACGCCAAGATTACACCGATCAGCAACTGCAGATCAGCGCGGGCCCCTGCCAGTGTTTGACTGATCGGGCGCGCAGCGAGATGCACAGCACAAAATGCTTAGGTCGGGCATGTCCTCCCACAGGCGGATTCTGGACGACCAATGAAAAATGTCAAACATAATGAAACAGATACGCAAAACGAGCAAATTCGAAATACGGTGGGGGCATTGGATAAGGAAACCTTAGATAAGGAATCCAGGGTCTAAAGGCCGGAAGAACTCCAATCGAAGCTTGGCCATGGATATCACCGCCGCCCTCATAAGATAAGGAACCCTCCAGGGTCTGCAGCATCCTGGGTGCATTCCTTAACCAACACCCCCACCGTATCATCCCCAGACTATGCTTTGTCTATGTTTGAATTTCCCCCCCGTAATGAAAGGGATATGCCCGACTCAACAATCGGCCAATGTCGTCCGGGAGCTGGAACGGGCGCGAGGATCGCAGAGTGCATGGCCAGTCTCGAGCTGGCCGTAGAGGCCAGACATGGCGCACGGTGCAGGGCGCCCGCGCCGGGTGCTCGAGGCGCGCTGCAAGGCTTTCGCCCAGCACCAGAAGGCTGGGCGTGGCTGCTTTGTGCCACAAAAGAACGTCCTTTCCCGGGACCTCTCCGGTGTTTTTCCTCTCCATCTGCCCCTTCTGCTTGCTGGCTCCAGGAGGCAGCAGCAGAGGCGGATGTCGTGCCGCTCAGCAGGAGCTGTTGCCGAGGAGGGCCGGGCCAGGATGCAAGGCGAGGCCATGCCGAGCAGGGTTCCCCTCCCGGCTGCCCTCTGGCAGCTGTCCCCGCAGCGCCCACTCCCCGCCCACTGCGGCCGCCATCCACCCATCCCTTCCCCCTCCTCCATTCTCCTCGTCCTCCGTCCCTTCCCCCATCTCCATCTTCATCCCTTCCCCCTGCTGGGGAAACCAAAAGGTACCGATACCGCTACTCCCTGGACATCTCCCGGGGTGCGTTCTGACCATGATTTCGAGGCGGTGGCGACGAGGGCCTCCGAGGAGGCCCGAAAAGGGGAAAACGAGGGGAGGGTAGAGTTATGGGTACCTTTTCCTCCTCTGACCTCCCCTTCCCCCTCCTCGTTCCCCCTTCCCCCAGCCTCTATCCCTTCCCCCTCCTCCTCCGTCCTCCTCCTCCGTCCTCCCACCCCCGGCAGGTCGGACGGACCTGCCTCGCCTGCCCGAACTACACCAATTGGAGCCGCCGACTCTCGCACGCCTCTGTGCACGTTTCCAGGCCGCTGTTGGTGGCCTGGCCCCTGCACGCCCGGAAGTCGGCGTTGCACAACTTGTTGCACGTCTTGATCTTCTGGGCAGCGTCGGACATGGCCTTGACAGCCTCTCGGGTTGCGTTCTGGACAGCCTCCACAGACGCGCCGGGCATTGCTGCGAAAGGCGGCGGGTCCCGATCGGCGGCGCACACCGAGCTGCAAGATGTCAGCTTCAAAGTGCACCGCGTGATGTTCTGCGTCAGCGCGTTGACGCACCGTGACTTGCAACCAGTGACGTTGGGGGCGCCCGACAGCGCGACGCCCTTGGCGTTCTCGCCGCCTGTCGGGCCATTCCCGTCGCTCGAATTCTCGCCCTCACTGCCCGCACCCCCGCCCGCGCCCTCGCTGTCAGGTGGCTGCGTGGGTGCTTGCGTAGGCGCTTGAGTAGATTCTGCAACGGGCGTCAGCGTAGGCGCCGCGGTGAGCGCGGCAGCAGGTGCTGGCGTGAGTTCTGGGGTAGGCCCTATGGTCCGCGCCAGGGCAAGTGCGGGCGTGGGCTCTGGAGCGGATGTTGCTAGGGTTGACGCTGGCCCAAGCTGACCCAGGCTCGAAAAGGCCCAGATCGCATGCTAAGCACTTTTGACGATGCCTACAAACCCAAGAACCCCCGAATGGTGCGAAAAGCTGGGGGCACCCCAATCCAGGACCGCTCTTGCAACCGCCGGCTCGATTTGTTGGATGCGTGGGCGGGCACCGCAGGACTCCCGACTCTTTCCCAAGGGCCGATCTTTAACTCCTGAACTCTTGCTTGATTGTCCAGAGGCCCAGAACCAGCCTCCAAGGCCGAAGCTGGAGAAACCCTCGCCGCCTCAACTTTTTATCGAGCCGATGGATTCTGGGCACCTCGGGTCGAGTTCAACAATCCCCCCTGGACGCGTGCAAAGGTGCTCTGGCAAAGAATTCGAAGCGGGTCCAGCCGTAACGACGAGAAGTCCTCCCCCCCTTCGGGGGGCAGCTTGGGCCAGGATCGCCCCTGGCACCCTCCCACTGGGGTCGGCGCCGCGGCGGGCGCCGGAGTCTACGCAGAAGGCGCCCACGCTCCACAGAGCCAGGCTTAAGTCGGGCGTGTCCCCCTACAGGCGGGGATTCTGGCCGAAAGATGAAACATAGACTAAAACATGCACGCAAAAAGTGCTCAGGAAGAGTCGAAGCATCGTCCCCAGACTTTTTTCCCATAACTATTTTGGGGTATTCCTCCTGGGGGCCGAGGGACCCGGCCCTGGCTGCGCCTGAAGGGTGGTGCGCGCGGGCGCCTTCTGCCCAGGCATCCTCCGACAGCGTGTGCTCCCTCTGGGGGCGCCGCAGAGCTCCCGACCTCTTCCCCGGAGGGAACGAAACGGGGGGGGATGGCCAAGGGTGGGGTAGAGAATCACCTACCCCAGAGATCCAACGTAATGAAAAAAACACGACGGAGGTTTTGGTCAGCTTTCGGCCTTTAGGGGCCCTTACCGGGCCTCGGGACCGTCAAACAACGACTCAGGATGAAAAACCTGTCCAGAGGAATGGGTCGAGGCTTCCGGGGACCCCGTCTTGAAGAATTCACGACCACAGATCTCTGGGACGTGAGCGCCCCCCGGCGCCGGGAGGCGCCCATGTATCGAGGAATGGGCCCGGCGGCGGGGCCGAAATCAGCTGCAGGCGGCAGATCTCGTGACGCCCCCTTTCCCTATCCCCCCCTGTCGTTCGGCCCGAGTTTCGACGTTGGGCGGAAGGGGGGGGGGAAGGGGAGGTCTGGCTCCGGACCTCTGCTTCATGCGCCTGTCTGCAGCAGTGCGTCCTAATGCGGGAGAGGCTCCACCTGCTCGAAACAGGCGCCAAAAGCAGCCAAGATCTACTCCATCGGGGGGGGAGGGGGGGGTGCCAAG